ACTGAAGTCTGGAGGGACAAATGACTTGCTTCATCACACAGCTGATTAGTAACAAAGCCCCACAGGTATCTGGTCATCACTCTTTCCAATATCCCACAGACTTTTGGTGTGAACTGAGGGTGAAAGTATTTTTTTTTTTCCCCATGGCCTTTCATTTTACATTAGCCTGCGAAGGAAGTGTCTGGAATAAAGTAAATAATGCAGAGAGAGAAGAGATAGAGGGTTTTGACCATTGTGTGATAAAGACATTCTGGTGATTCAGTGCCCTGTGACCTTGCAGATGATGCAAAGGGGAAATGATGAGTAGCTCCGTTCAGGAGAACACGAAAGGCCAGAAGAATCTCTGGAAGGTTGTGTCCAAGGACAGAGGGCACACTCAACAAACTTGGTTCAATAATCATATAATGAAGCTGTTAGGTAGTAGATACTATGGATTGTCCTAGAAAGCACCATCTAGTATTGTCCACATCCTTAACATTCTCTAAGCACTTTCCCACATATCTTTCCCTCATTTGACACTTTCTGTGTCAGCCAGGGTTCCTGGTGATTCTGGTTCATCTGGTCGTTGAGAGGACATTTTTAGAAAGGAGCCTGTAGGGTCCCACAGTGACAGGATCCAGAGCTGCTCTGGGACAAGAGAGTAGGAATGAAAGCGCAGTCTCTTCGGGGCTCTGCCTCTACTCTACCTTGTCTTGCATGTTTTCACGGTGTTACTTTGCTTGGGAAACCCATTCCAGAGTGAAGGTGTCTGAATGGCCCAGCCTGGAGCACATGACACTCCTCGACTAGGGGAATATTGAGGCATCTTGATGTGTAGGTCCTTGAAGGCTGTATCCAAAGCAAATTCTAATGCTTTTGACAAAAGACAGGGGAATAAGTAACAAATGTCCCCTGTAAATGAAACAATTACCTCTATGATATAAACTAGAAAGTTGAGGCCCAGAGAGATGAAGTGAACTTGCCCAAGGTCACAGCTATAAACATATAGCTGAGCAAAGTTATACTTCCAGAACCTGTTCTTTCTACCAAAAAGAGTACGTAAAGTTTTGCTTTGTTTTGTTTTTAAGTAGGCTCCACACCCAACGTGGAACCCAATGTGGAGCTTGAGCCCTGAGATCAAGAACTGAGCTGAAATCAAGAGTCGGTCACTTAACCAATGGAGCCACCCAGGTGCCCCCAAGAGTAGGTGAAGTTTGTGTTTATGGCAGTCCCTTTTCCTTTTTCAGTGCTCATGTCACTCTGGTTCCTACCTCTCCTCCAAAGGGGTCCCATCACTCCGTCACCTGCCATCTCTGGATTGTGAGGCTGATTCTCTTACTCCTTTCCTCTCCTGGATCCCCAAACTTCCTGGTACCAGTGTAATAAACTGAGGAATACCTCACACCATGTGCTAATGGAAAGAATCACCCTCGGGTGGGTCTTGGGACACTGTGAAAGCCCTTCTCACTTCTTATTCCACTGATGAACTTATTGCTGTGGATCTGGAGCATATTGTTGTGGGAGGGAAGCTCAAGGAACCAAGGAAGTCACCTATGCAGGTTTCTTTGAGATGAGGTCTGCCTACATGTGTGGCCTGGCCATAGATTCATGGCCCCATCACAATACCACAGTTTAAAAATGGAGGAATCTTTAGGGACAATGATTAAAAAATATATGGTTCTCTATTGTCTCCAGGAAAAAGCCTGCATTCATTCCTTTGCTTAGCTCTATGATATGGCACTTCTGATGTCTGGGGTGCTGGTTATGGAAGGATTCTGAGTCTCTGGGAATGGTGGGAAAGAATTATGTGTTCCTCTAGTGACGTCTGCTGAGGGCAGAGAATGGAGAGGGTGGTGTGTGTGTGGTGGGTTCGATGTTCAAATTGAACAACCAACCATTCCCTTCCTCCTCAATACTTTCCCTAACCTTTGGTGCTATGGTCTGAAAATGGAGATCAACTGAACTGTTTCTTCAAATGCAATTGCGTGTAAAAGCTCAGTGTGCAAAATAAATAAAAATAAATAAATAAATAATAAATAATAATAAAAAGCTGAGATTAAGTGGGACAGGGCTTCGGAGCCTACTGTGGCTCTGCAGGTGTGCTTGGAATCCCCTGGAACTGTGCCTCTATCCACAATCCACTTTCTGCTCTTCCTGGAACAAAGTCCACTCTTCCCCCCTCCCTGTTTTCCCCCCTCCCAGTTTCTTAACCTGGAATGACGTCCTGTCAGTTCTTCAAGATCTTGGAGGTCACCTCTTTCCTAAAACCATCCTCAATACTCCCTGGATAGAGAGATTCACTCTGAAAGCCAAAGTGTTTTTCTTGAACTTCTCTCATGGCTTTTATAGTTGCTCATGCTAGTATAGGTTGCCCTGATATGCTATAGGTGCCTCTGGGTAGTTTCCTGTGTGATGGGTAATCTGAGGCCTATGCAGTCAATTTTGGTAAAAATGCTAGTATTTTTATGTTTGGGTATTATTTGTTCTGTTTTAGAGCTTTTGCAAACTCTTTGTAATTTTCTGCCTCCTACCTCCACCTATGCTTCCCTTTTCTGGACATCTTTTTGTTCTTCGTAAAATTGGGGTAGTGGTATTAATGCTCCATGGAGTACCTGACATGAGTTAATTTAATTTATACTAAGTGCTTATTACAGTACCTGGCACAGAGTATGTGCTTGGTAAATGTTGGTTATTGTAGTTATTATTACCTCAACATCATTAGGATAACAACACTTCTCCACCTTGATATTATGCCTAGGTTCCTTCTCGAGGGGTGGCCTAGTATTTGCTAGTCACTGAGATGCAGGAATAAGTGAACCTTTTGACTCTTGGCTGGGATTCTGGGCATATGAAGTGAGAATTAGTCATGGCCTCATTCACAATCTGAGAACATTCACACTTGTCGCACCTGCTTGGAGAAGCTTGGATTCATCCAGCAGATTTTGGATTTCTCCAGCCTTGGTCTGTGCTCTGGGAAGAGCTCAGCTTTGAAAGTCTTGCAAATGCCTCCTTGAAATGGCTCAGTGACTTCACTTAGGAACTGGCTCCATAGGGCGGGGGATGGGGGAACTCTAGTGAAAGGAGGAAAAGGCTGTGTCAGCTGCAGCCATGTCTCTCCTCAGGTAGGGGTCTCCCAGTGTGCCTGTCCTTGTGTGGTCCCAGCACGTGTCTTTAAATTCAAGCAGCCAAAGAGTGTGCTTTTGGTAAAGATTAGACTAAGAATCTTTCAGGAAACTGCTCCATGGAGAAGACATGTTGGGATGCTAGGTTTTTGGTTGAATTTATAATGAATTTATAACCTGATCTGCTGCGAAGGAAGCATCCATCCTGATGAGAGGGCTTTGGCCTTTGGTTTTAGATGCTCATTTTTTGGAACTACTTTGTTTCTCTTTTGTCCTACCTTTTGCCTTCCCAATAGCTGCTCAGCCTACATTTCCTAAGTTTACCATGTTCTTTCTCATCTTTGGGTCTCTACCTAGAAAATGTACTACCTCTCCTTCTCCCCTACACCCTTAGGCTTCTTCCCCCTAAATGAGATGACTTTGACCCCAAAGACGTTTAGATTCTCTTTTCCTTCAGTACCACCCATGAACATGTCTACATTATGATTCTCCTAACTCTGGGCATCATGGGCTGTTTCTTTGTCTGTCTCTCCCACTGGAAAGTGGCCTGCATGACCCCAGGGACTGTGTTGTTTGTTCATGTGGCTGTGACTCTGGGGCCTGGCTGAGGACCTGGCCAACTAAAAAAAAAAAAAAAAAAAAGCACAAATTAATGAATGAAAACAATGAATAAGTGAACAAATATAAGAATCAAGAATAAATGATTATTTCTGTTTATCTCATTTCTGATGATCTGACTTAAGGATGAGAGCGTGAGAGGTGACAGAGAAGAACAGATTTTCAAATACTCTTCCACAGCAGCACCTTGTCAGTGATGAAATTGTGTGCAGCATCTCAATTTCTGGAACAGATAAAAGCAGAACTTTTTTGTTTATAGGAGCAGTGAAGCCCTATGGTCTCTCTTTCCCCTTCTTCCTTTGGGAGACCTAGGCTCCTTGGGCAGAGTTTAAAACCATTGCCCCTAAAAGGATAATGCTATTTAGAAAAGAACTGAGCAGGGGGACCACAATCCAGCTGGGACCCTGATTTTCTTGTTAGTTGTGGCTAATAGCACATATTATGTACATAGTCTGAGCTAGTCCTATGCTAAGTGCTTTGTTTATATCAATTTTTCATCCTCACAATAATCTTATGCAGTATTTTCTATGCTTATTTCTATTTTAGAGAGGCGAAAACTGAAGCACAGATTTAAGTAACATGCCTGGGGGCCCATGACTACTGAGCAGCTGAGTCAGGAATCAAGCTCTAGATTATCTGCCCCTAGGGGCTGAGCCCTGAGCAGCCACCTGCAGCAAAGCAGCAGAACTGCCCATAAGAACATCTGCTGTCCACTGAGCATAGTTGCAGCTGGGCACTGTGCTAAGCCCTTCACAAGCATTAGCTCATTCGATCCTTACTGCACCCCTATGGTGTGGAGACGTCATTGCCATATTATCATTGGCACCAGCATCAGCTCTATCTACTCTTCTCAGTGGGTTATCAGTGTCACCTATCGCCAACAAAGGGGTCAAGTAAGAAATGATTAGCCCAACATTTGCATACATTCTGTAACAAGATGACCTTTTTCTTTTTCTTTTTAAAGAGAAGCACAGATTATTTGAAACCAACAATGCTAATTAGGCTTGGCTGCCTCAGCAGGATAAAATAAATCAACCAATCTACTTTTTGGAAGCAGAAGGTGGGAAAGAGGCTACTTCTGAGCTGACTGTGCACCAAGAGACAGATCCTTGTTTCATATAAATTGTCTATGAAAATTCCTCTAGATGAATGCAGGAGGGAAATCTGGCACAAGTCCTAGAGCAGGATAAAGATGTTTGAAAATCCGTTCAGAAATCATAAGTTAGATGCTTCTCCCATCTGTCCCATTTCTGCCAAGAAATATGACCCTCTTTCTTACAGGATTTTCAAAGCACTAGAAGACTCCAGAATGGCATATAGAGTAAGAGGTATTACTGCTTCTAACAGCGGATAATTCAAAACCTCCTGGACCCTTTTCTGACCAGACTCTCAGGGCTGAGAACTCTGTGGTAAGAAGTCCAATGAGATGTGTTTATATTAATGACTTTCCCTGTTTTGTCTTCCTTTAGAGGATCTCTGTGTACTATGAAGGCAGAAAGCTTCATCCAGCATAGTCAGGACCAAGGGCAATGGTATTCTTTATAAAGAATCAAGAGGGTGAGATTATAAGGCTGTGGTGTTCATTAAGGCTGTTCATAGATATTTTGCTTCTCTTCTGGGTCATTGTAGGATTCTACTTCCTCAACCCCATTATAATTAGGCATGGCTCTGTGACTTGCTGTGGGCAATAAAATGTGAGTGAAAGTGGTATGTATCAGCTCTGGTAGAAAATGTTAAGAGCTAGCTAATGTGATTCACCATGTTCTCTTTCCCTTTGTCACAGTGACAGGCAACATTTGAGATAGTGCATGATTTTTTTTAGACTGGATGTGATGGTTAATTTTATATGTCCACCTGGCTAGGCTATGGTGTTCATTGTTTTGTCAAACAACCAGTCTAGATGTTGCTATGAGAGCTTTATTTTTTATTTTTTGGATGTGATTAGCATTTGAATCAGTAGACTTTGAGTAAACCAGATTATCCTCCATAGTGTGGGTGGGCCTCATCCAATCATTTGAAATCTTTTCAGAATAGACTAAGGTTTCTCAAAGAGGAAGGAATTCTCTTCCAGACTATAACATGGAGACTCTGCTTGAGTTTCCAGCCTGTTGTCTTGTGGAATTCAGACCCAAGACTACAAACATTGACTCTTATCTCAATTTCCAGCCTGTTGGCCTGCTTTACAGATGTTGGACCTGCCAGCCCCAGCATCATGTGAGCCAATTCCTTAAGATAAAATAAATCTCTATGTATGTATCCTATTTGTTCTGTTTTTTTTGTTTGTCTCTGACTATACATTGGGTGAGGATGAACTGGAGCAGAAACCCAGCCAGCTCATAACGGAAATGTAAAGTGAGCATGAAATAAAACTTTGGCATTAAAAGCCATTGAGATTTTGGGGTTGTTTGGTGCTGCAGCATAACCTACCCTATCCCTCCTGATATGGAAATTAGGTATAATTTGTCCCATTCATCTACGTGTTTTTTCTTATACTTATTTTAGGAGCACAGCTGAATCTCAGTTGGACATCATGATTCACCTTGACTTAAATGAACTTAAAATCATTTTTAATGATTATCTTGCCTCTAAATATTAATATGAAATATCAAACCCAAGTCCATAACATTAGCTGAGAGGAAGAAAGATCGGAAGGAAATTAATATTAGCCAATGGCTTGCTTCTGAACCAGGTAGTAAGCCAGGTGCTCAGCATATAATATCTCATTATTTCTAAAACTAGTTTATAAAGTATGTGTCTTATTATTCTATAGGTGAGAAAACTAAGGCCAAAGACAGAGAATTAGTGAATGCCAGATGTGAAATTTATTATTTTTGTATTTATTATTTTTTTTAAAGATTTTATTTATCTATTCATGAGACACACACACAGAGAGAGAGAGAGAGAGAGAGAGAGAGAGAGAGAGAGAGAGAGGCAGAAACACAGGCAGAGGGAGAAGCAGGCTCTAGCAGGGAGCCTGACGTGGGACTCGATCCCAGGTCTCCGGGATCAGGCCCTGGGCTGAAGGTGGCGCCAAACCGCTGAGCCACCAGGGCTGCCCCCAGATGTGAAATTTAGAGTCAGAATTATGTATTCTAAAGTTCATGGTAATTCTGTTCATTAGGATTTTTAACGGCAGAAAGGGAATTTGTGGCAGTGGCATCAGATAGCTCGCAGAATCAATGGGAAGGAATGGAGAACAGGTTCATAAATGGACAGATATTCAGGGCACCAGGGGTCTGGAACCAGGAACGTTTTAATGTTCTTACTAGGAAATGCTGATGGAAGGAATGTGGTTGTGCCCTTTCTGGTGTTTTATGTTTTGTTCCATTTTTGATCAAGTTCAAAGTCCTGAGTTAAGCTGGCTTAACACGGCATTATGGGCTCACTCCTGGCAACTGTCCCAGTAAAACCACTTTACCATTGGAGATGAGTGATTCCTTAGAAGGATATTAGAGACTATTGTCACAAAAACTGTGTGTGTGTGTGTGTGTGTGTGTGTGTGTGTGTGTGTGTGGTGTTGGGGGGTGGTGAAGATTAGGTAGCCAAAAAGAAGAGCAATTACTGGTATCCTCTGCTTTTTGAAAGTTCATGCTATGTCACTTCACTTTTAGGAAGGACCAACAGTAGTACCCATATTTGGGGATGCCTGGGTGGCTCAGTGGTTGAGTATCAGCCTTTGGGTCGTGATCCTGGGGTCCTGGGATCTAGTCCTGCATTGGGTTCCCCATAAAGAGCCTGCTTCTCCCTCTGCCTATGTCTCTGCCTCTCTTTCTGTGTCTCTCATGAATAAATAAATAAAATCTTTTTAAAAAATAATAATTATAGTATACCTTTTTGCTAACAGAAAGAAACCGGAAGATTTTCACTTTTGCGACAAAAGGCAAAAAACAAAAATAGCATTCAGCATTGATTTTGCAACAGCCGTTACTGAGGCAGCCCTGAGGGGCTGGAGCATCTCCGTGTCAAGCTGCCAGAGTGTGGACATGTGTCTGGTGAGCATCTGTGCTTTACCTCGATTTATTTTGTGCATCCATTAGCAAGATGTGTCCTAAGGTATCAGAGAAGTCTGGCAGAGGTTATTTTTTGGGTCTGGGAATACTCAAAAATGTTTCTGTATAAATTAATGGAAGCTGCTTCTTGGCTTTATGCCATTTTGATTTATCAAAGTTTTCCTAGGAATGCTCCACCCTTTGGTAGTGGGGAAAACCAACCTGTGTATGATTGGGTTTGGTTGGCAGAGAGCCCCACTTTCTGCCTGTTGTGTGATGTGATATCAAAGAGACCATCTCCATTCTTTAAAGTGCCCTCATTTGGAGGATGAATTATGAGGCCACTAAATAGCATCCCATATATACATAGACACTATTATTCACCTGAAGCCTTGAGTGCCAGAAATGGGGCATTTCCCTAGGCATGGAGAACTGTTACAGAATTGTTTTTCTCTTGATTTGTTGTGATTCAGCTCCTAGCAGTGTATTTCTAAATTCCTGAACCATTAAAAAAATTTTGTTTTTGGTTTTAAGTAGGCTCCATGCCCAACATGGAGCCTGATGCAGGGCCTGAACTCATGACCCTGAGATCAAGACCTGAGTTGAGTTCAAGAGTTGGACGCTTAACTGACTGAACCACCCTGGCACCCCCTAAAATTCCTGAATCATATTTATCTGCTTGGTTATTATCCAGTTCTACCAGCCAGAAATTATATGTGCCCTTTGCTGATGAAGACTTATCCTCTCTCTAGGTGACACTCTTCTTTCTGATGACAAGGACTAGGGTAACACATACTAGAACAACTTCCAAGGCTTATTTAGGATCTTGATTATTCAAGAGGCTGTACCAAGAGCATGTGTCAAGTTGGATATAACTATGAGTAGGTCGTACAGATCCCATTTCCTCAATATCGTTTGAATCCATGCATTTTATCTTCATTGCTAATATCTTGGTTCAAGCCACCACTATCTGTCACAAAGATTACCACCTCCTGATTGGCACAGAGCCTTCAGTGTTGGGTCTGCTCAATCCATTCACCCCACAGCAGTCAGAGTGATCTTTCTAAGGTGACAGCCTGATTACATCAGCTCCCTTGCTCTGATGGTTCCCTACTGCTCTTGGGTAAAGTCCAAATGCCTTCACCTGGCCTGCAAGGGCCTGGATTTTCTCCTCTCTTAATGTTTCCCATTGATGCCCTTTCCTTCTGATGCTCTGGGATACAGGTCTTTTGAAGATCCTATTCCTTAGCTCTGGACATCTATTTCCTTCTTTCCACCAACTCCTGCTCATCCTTAAGTCTTCAGTTAGCATCAGTAATAGTCATTTGAATAGCTCTTCTAACCAGAGCACTTATTTATATGCCAGATGCCATGCTGTGTGCTTCACAGGGAATATCTCATTTGATCCTTTCAGCCATCCTAGCAAGTAGGTGCTACTATTATCATTAGCAGGCCTATTTGACAGACCAGGTGTCTGGGGTTCAGAAAAGATAAATGCCTTGCCAGGATATACAGCTCACAAACGGTAGATCCAGGATTTGAACCTGAGAAAGCAGATGCAAAGCCTGTACCCTTAACCCTGTGCTACTGGGCCTTTTAAGCGTTTCCTCCAGGTGGCACCTGCATCTCTTGACTTTCTATGGTACCTCTGCTAAGGAGCACCTGCATTAGGTGCCTCTTCTCAGTGCTTGCATAGCTCAGAACTTTCTCTAGCACAGTCTTCATCAGCCTGTACTGTCATGAACTCTTTGTTTTTCTTTTCTTCTGGAGCATAAGATCCATGAGTCTAGTGTCTTTTTCATTCTTTCACTCGAGTAGGCAGAGGTCTTGTCACACAGTTTGTACTCAATAAATGTTGGTTGAGTGGATGATTAAACATTAGGTATCAGTATTTAGGTCTTAAAAAGTTAACAAATACCTCCCCCCACCCTACCTCCCTACCTTGTTCCTCAGATTATTCTTCATTGCCATTGATCTAAGAAGTATTTCTCCTACTGCATTAACTTTTAATATCCCCTCCTCTGGGCCTTTGCCTGGGAGATTTTCTCCATGAAAAGCTCTCTGCTTCCTTCCTGCTGCTAATTCATGTTCTTTTCATGTCAGATGCCATTAGGGCATGAGTTTTCTTTGACTTAAGCATGTGACTTCTCTTAGGCATTTCCCTTCAGCTAGGGACTTGAATGACTGGTCCTGGGTATGGCACAGTACCATGTTGTCCCCCATATCTGTCTTCCCTTCATCATTAAGGAGATGGGCATATTGTCAATGATTACATGGCTGTCTTCCCCAGTCTCCTTGTAACTGGGAAGGAGACTTTTGATTGATTGAAGTTTTGACCAATGATACTAGTTTTGTGAGTGAATTCAAGAAATGTCCTTATAGGAAGCACGTAGATCTTTTTTCTTACTTTTCCTTCATTCTGTTTTCAAAAGTATAAGCTCTAGCGAGCATCTTGGACCATGAGAGCAAGAGCTACACTCCAGAGATGGTGGCGTGGTGAGCTGGTAGGCACCTACCTGAGTCCCAGACAACTTTGCATGGCTTCCATGTTGTCCCTAGACTATCTATTCTTGACTTTTTTTTTTTTTGACATCCCTGAGCAATATGCATTTTTCTTTGTAGCTTCTCTGTTACATGCAGCCAAACCCGATCCTGTCTCATACTTTGGCCTATAGGAGTCTCTAACTGTTGAGCAGTTATGAAAAGCTAGATGGTGTGTCTAAGCAGCAACTATCAAGTGTAAAGAGGCAGGTTTCTTGCAAGTATTTGAGACTTTGACTTCTGATCGTGACTCCTACCATGAATTGTCTATATACCCTTGAATGAGTTGTATCACCTTTTTGGACCTCATCTTCCCCTTGGGGATAGTTAGTTGGTGGAGGAAATCGGACCATGACCTTTAAAAGGTCTGTGGTGACACAGGCCATGTCTCCAGGATAAGAACCATTAAAGACAGAGACTTGGACCAATACAAATTGATTTAGCAGGAAAATTTTCTCAAATTTTTTCTTAGCCCTCCTGTCCTTGTTTCTTGCTCTTGCTCAGATAACTCTCTGGTTCCTAACTTCAGTCTGCAGTGTGGGATTTGGGCTGGAGCCAATGTTAGTGCTGCTTGTGAGTGATAGCTCTGACTCTGCGGTTTAATCTTTAGGGGCCTCCCAGATCCCAAAGTCTGCTCCTGCTCTCTGTGCCTACCTGGGATTTTATGTCTGTCAAGTCCAATAAAAATGTTTCCTTTCTAAAATTCTCTTTCTTTAATAAGCTCTGAACAAAGGCAAAGCTGGTTGCCTCCTTCTATACATAATCATTGTGTGAATTGTTTGCTCTTAAGATTTTCCTGACTTTTGTTTGCTCACTTAGACTGACTTCATAGGACTTAAATGTGTGTGTGTGTGTGTGTGTGTGTGCATAATTGTGAGTGTTTGGAGGATATACAGAGAAGCATGAAGAGAGAGGGCAGGTGGTGAGTATTCTAAGGTTAAAATCCAGCTGGCCCTGGTCCAGAACCTTTCTGGATATGGTCCTGAGGTTCGTACTCTATTTCAGGTGTCTCTGCATTAGGAACCACTCCATCCTTGTGTATCTGGGCCATCAAGCCTGTATGGTAATAGTACTCACTCCTCCCAGGCTTGATCAGTGTCCCCATGGCAGACATTGGTGATCTCTGCTGCCTTTTCATCTGCCTTGGATAGTGTCTCACAAGTTGGTTTCAATGTGATTTTTCTCTTCAGTGTTTACTGTTGAATTCAGGTTGGCCTCAGTCTGCACCGATTGGCTCTGGTCTCTCTGGTAGAGTATGTCCCCTCGGCCGCAGGGATCTTGCCTGGTGTTGTGCTGAGTGCCCAGTTGCTGAAAGCACAAGGTGAGCTGGTGAACCCTACAGATGCACTTGAATGACATTTCTCATCTGCACCAGACTCATTCTTTATGCTCAACTCCTTTTGGGATGCCCTCCCATAATCCAACAAAAGAAGCCATGGGATTGGGATGGATGAATTAGTTTGGAGATCATGTGAGTAAGAGTGATTTGAAAAATGTAACACGCTGGTGACGGAAGGAGTCTAGGATCCAGAGAAGATTTGGGCTCAAAGTCTAGATTCTCCCTTTCCGGTCATGAAGCTATACATTTTAAAACTTTCCTTTAATAATAAAATGGAGGTGATAATAATGATTAGCTCCCAAACCATTAATGCATGAACACATTAATGAAGGAATGTTGGCTTTGTAACTGGAGGTCCTGGGTTTAAACTGTGGTTCTCTTCTTCCAGGTGAACAAATTTTAGGAAAGTCACCTATTTCTCTGAGTTTCCTTTTCCTATCTACTAAATCATACTATTTATAATGTCTACTTCCAAGGGGGTTATAATTATTCAAGGATTAAACAGATGAATGTGCTATGATAATTACGCCTTTATTGTCATCACTAAGAATGGCAATAATGAATTCCTTCAAAGTTCCGGTTACAACCGTTCATACGTAACTCTTTCCAATTTGCAGGGGGCATGACATGAGTCCATTTTCCTGATATACAGCAGCACAGGTAAGAGAAAGCTATATCATTTGTGGCAGTTTCCTGGCTGTTTTGGATGTTACAGTATTATTAGCAGTAAGGGACTCACAGAAGCAGGAAATGACACTTTGCCTGACAAGCTCATGGACCCAACAACATTGTTAGCTCCACTCTGGCTTTTTCCCACTAAACAGTGAGTACAGGGCCACCTATACAGCATAGGCCATGTATAGACACATGGCAGACTACGATATGAATGGTACCCCCCAAAATGGTGCTGGGTACAATTTGAACAAATCTGTATGTGCTGGCTCTGGCATCTACTTCCAGATTTTCTCCCTTTGAAGTGGTGTCTAGGCAAAAGATCTAACTTTTTTGATGGAGTTTTTGCAGCTGGAGGCTATATTGGAAAGTTTTCCTCACTTCAGTCATTGGAGGACTCCAAGACCAAGGCAGCATGTAGAGTAAAGAATTGAGAAAGAGGCTGAACCAGGAATCAGCTGGTGAACCCAGGCTCAACCCCTTGGAGCAGTCAAGGTTGGTCTGAAATTTGCTTTAGCACTCAGGTTGAGGTACAACGGCCTATGAACCTTCCAAGTTCAAGGGCCAATAATTAAATTTGGCTCTTTGTAACAGAAATCATCAGGCAATAGCTTATCTTAAAGATTTTATTTCTTCATGTTAAAGAAGAAGAAAGGTAGGCATGATGGGGCTGGTAATGGTGTCCTTATAGGATCATCTGGGATGAGAAAGCCTCCTTCTATCTTTCTGCTCCAAGGTTCTCATCTCAAGGTCACCTCAAGGTTCAAGATGGGTATTGGAGTACTGGCTGTTATAGCAGCGTCCCACGTTCTGCCAGGCCAGAGGATGGCAGGAAGGACAAAAGGGGTGAGCTTCCTGGCTGCGTCAGCTCCTATAAAGCAATTCTTCTGGAAGACCCCATATTTCTGCTGACTGTCTTTGGCCACAGTTAGTCTCATAGCCACATATAACTGAAAAGGAGGTCAGGAAATTTAGAATTATAGCAGAATTATAGCAAGAATTATATTTCTTCCCCCAATAAAATTGGGCCATTGTTCTAGTGAGGAAGGGGAAAATGGTTATTATGGACAAGTGAGAGCCTCTGCCACAGGGGCCTTTGCATATCTCTTCATAGGACTGCTTGTGTTAGAATTACTCTTCTTAAAAAGCAGCTAGCAGGCACAGGTGATTGTGATGGGCATGTAGTTAACTGCTCAGAGAATGCCAACTGGGTCATTGAATTAGAACATTTGTTAAACCATTAAACTGATTGAAAGATGGGGGAAAATATGAGTTCCTCCTTTTTGAAGACTTGGGTAGTTGGGGCCAGAACAAACATTCCCAGTAACGTGGGCCTGGCTTGCAGAAAGGCTAACTGTTCCAAAAACTCAGCGTGGGTCAGAACTTGATCTTTCCTTTGTTGCTGCTTCACATGACAGTTCTTCATTAGTACATTGTGTAAGGTGGCTACCGGTGCCATAAGAAAGAGGTTTGTGACTCATGAAATTGCTTCTTGGCCAGAAACGTATTACACTAAAGTAATGAGGCAATTTTTTTCCCTCCACCTATATTGCAAGGCATTACTTGCCAGTGATTGCTCAAGGAAACTTGGCCTTGACATGGCATACCAGCATATACCGAATATCGCAAAATTTTAGGGTCACCCAATAAACGGAAAAGCCAGACCATATGCGTTAGGTAGACCATTAGAAGTTAGCTGGGTTGATTTATGCTTTGAAGTGTCAATCATTATAGTAATACAATTATTAAGCATATGTCGTGTTATAAATGTTTGGGGCCAGGTGAGTCGCTACAAAGATAAATGATTTTTTGGCTTTTAGAGACCTTGCCACTTAGTGTAGGAGGTAAGATGTGATGGCACAATTAGACAAGGTAGAGTGTGAGGAGGGCTCTAACAGAGAAGCACTTCTCTGCTAGAAGAGGGGAAACAGAGGAGGGTGGGGCGGGTTCAGATTGGGGCTGGCAGGTAGGCTCCAAGGGCAGCTGCGGGAAATAGTAGAGAGAGGCCTTGAAGGATGGGGAAATTTTGGGTGCATGAAGGCAGAGGTTAGGAGGATAGAGGAGCATTCATTATGAAGGGAGTAGCAGCAGCAGGAAGTATCTGGAGAGAAGACAGCTGGGGGTATCTTCAGATGCTACTGAGGAATCAGTCATCTGAATATGTAAATATATATTCTGGGAAAAAGGGTCCCAGATGCACGGGGTGGGGGGGGAATGCTAGGGTTTTAATTAAATATTAGCATATTGAAGGCTCTGAGAAGGTCCTTTTTTATTTATTTTTATTTTTTTAAATAAATTTATTTTTTATTGGTGTTCAATTTGTCAACATACAGAATAACACCCAGTGCTCATCCCGTCAAGTGCCCACCTCAGTGCCCGCCACCCAGTCACCCCCACTCCCCTGCCCACCTCCCCTTCCACCACCCCTAGTTCGTTTCCCAGAGTTAGGAGTCTCTCATGTTCTGTCTCCCTTTCTGATATTTCCCACTTATTTTTTCTCCTTTCCCCTTTATTCTCTTTCACTATTTTTTATATTCCCTAAATGAATGAGACCATATAATGTTTGTCCTTCTCTGATTGACTTATTTCACTCAGCATAATACCCTCCAGTTCCATCCATGTCGAAGCAAATGGTGGGTATTTGTCGTTTCTAATGGCTGAGAAGGTCCTTTTTTAAAAGGCAAATCTGTATCTATTTAATTTGTTAAGCAAGTAAATGAATTTCTATGTGCAGAAAGGACTTTTTTTTTAACCCAGATGTCGAATATTGGAAATATGGTTTAACAGTGTTTCTAGGAAGAAAAAGCAAGTTTACTGGGCATCTAGCTGGTCTCTGCTGACAAACATTCTACTCAAACTGATATTGGCTCAATAGCAGGATAGGCTTCTAAGGCCACAGTTCTTTCCACTTCCTATTCCAGTGATTATCCAACAAGAAAGTAAAAACCAATGTCCTTCAAAGTGTTTTGCTCCTTTATGCCCTAATTCTTAACTAAGTTTTTTTCTTTATAATTTTAAATGATTACAGAGGACAAAATTTCTAATCCATTATAAATACTGAGCACATTATACATATTGAATATAAAATAATGCATCACTCCTTTAAAGTAATTCAGTGGCCTGGATACCACAGGCATCTGATACTATCGTTTAATTAAAAAAACAAACACACACATGAACAAACTTTTCTTAATAGCAAGAAATTCTATATCACATCTTTCTACCTTAAAGATCACATTTCTATTCTTCTTCCATCACAGTAAGAATTTTCTCTTATTGTAACATATTTTCATATTTGGAGGTCTCTTACTGATCAACCTATAACATTTTTCTACAACAAAAATATGTTTAAACATTGAAACAAAAATTATTTCTTGAGACTCCAAGGCTCTAAGTTTCAAAACAAATTGCTTTTGGATTGAGTTATCATTATAATTATTACGAGTTCACAATTGATCAAAGTAACATATGTGTGGATACTGTACGTTTTAACAAATAATAGTCGTAAGAGTAAAATATTATTGGAAACGCTTCTCCTAACGATAAATATGGGGTGGGAGTTATATTTCCCTATTCATGGCAGCTCTGCAAATGTCAGAATGTTGGATTGTCCCTTGTTTGGTGCTTTGGGTTTGTTTCATCCTTTGTATAGCTGAAAATCGTGCCCTTTTCCCCCCCAAGAAGGGGTGAAGAATGTGGAGGGAGACTAGGAAGGAATTGGCATGCTGCTTCAAAGTGCTTTCTCACATAGCTCAATTTTATAAAAGAATACCCACTTGAAGATTGTGGATCTGCAACTTGCCCCCTCTAAAACTAGTTTATTTCTGCCCATATATACCTCGTGAGGTCATCATGTAAATATAGCCCAACTTGAAGACCACAGGTAATTGGAAAAGACAAATGACCCTACTATCAGGATACCTCATTTTTCTCATAACTGACTATATTCCCCGAAATAAGTTACTTTACCACAAGGGAATCAATCTCCTCCTGGTTCAGAGAACACTGAGGTGCTTCTGGTACCCCTTTTCTGATTTCCAGGCATCCTTCTGGAGGTTGAAGTGATGGTCTAACTGAAGCTGCATGTATTACTAAAGATATCCATCAAACCATGTTTTCCAGGCAATTAGATTCTGTGGCAGTCTCATCTTAACATATCAAACAGATTTATGAAGTTAATCTTTGACCTTTGCAACAACTAGAAAGGAACATAGATGAAGGGGAACAGAGCTTTTGGGCATTTTCTTTGTTGTTGTT